TCTCCTGTGGTGTCACCCAATTCCTTTCTTAATCATATTACTTGTATTCTCTCCCTTTTTTCCTTTGTTAAATTTCCCAGTGGTTTGTCAATATTATTAATCTTTTCAAAAAACCAACTTCTAGTCTTAATTTTTTTTATTGTTTATTTTCTGTTAGCATTTATTTCTGCTCAAATCTTTATTATTTCTTTTGGTGACTGTAGACTTTTGTTTGCTACTCTTTTTCTAATTGTTGGAGATGTTGGTTTAAGGTGTTGATTTTGGCTCACTCTCCTTTTTTGATGTGTGCATTTATTGGTATAAATTGGCCTCTGGTCACTGCTATTGCTGTGTCACAAAGATTTTGGTATGTTGTGTTCTGATTCTCATTGGATTCAAGAATTTTTTATTTCTTTTATTACCCAATCATTTTTAATGAGGATGTTATTATTCAGTTTCCATGTTTGCTGTTTTTTCATTGATCTTCTTGTTGTTGGTTTCTAATTTGATAACATTGTGATCTGAGAAGATGTTTTGCATATTTCGGTATTTTTAAGTTTATTAAGGGCTTGCTTTATGGCCTAACATATGGTCTATCCTGGAGAATGTTCCATGTGCACTGGAAAAGACTATATAATGTGCTGTTGTGGGGTGAAGTGTTCTATAGATGTCCATAAGGTCAAGTTGGTGGATTGTATTGTTTAGTTCTTCTGCGTCTTTGTTGAGTTTCTTTCCAGTTGTTCTATCTGTGATTGAAAGTGGTGTATTAAAGTCTCCTGTGTGAGTGTGGGGGAGCTCTGGTAGCATAGTGGCTAAGGCACTTGACTGCTAACCAGAAGGCTGGTGGTTCAAACCCACTAGCTGCTCCTCGGAAGGAAGATAGGGCAATCTACTTCCGTAGTGATACTGCCTTGGAAACCCAAGGAGGGGTCGCTATGAGTTGGGTCCGACTTGATGGCACATAACAACAGCAACAACATGTGAGTGTGGAGTCATCTGTTTGACTTTCCAGTTCTGTTAAAGTCTCATTTATGTATTTTGGGGTTCTTTCATTGGGTCTGTAGATACTTATTTTTGTTACGTCCTCTTATTCAGTTGGTCCTTTAATCATTATATAATATCCTTCCTTGTCTTATGGTAGCTTTTGTGTTAAAGTCAGTTTCATCATAAGTTAATATTATCACTCCTGCTCTTTTGATTGCCATTTGCTTGATTTATCTTTTTCCAACCTTTGATTTTTAGTCTGTTTTTGTCTTTGTGTCTAAGCTGTGTCTCTTACAGAGTGCATATTGATGGGTTATGTTTTCTTACCCTGTCTGCAACTCTCCATCTCTTGACTGATGAATTTAATCCATTTATGTTCAGTGTAATTATTGACAAGTGTGAATTTGTTGCTATCGTTTTGTTGTGTGTTTTTTCGTGATGTTGTTGATTTCTTTGTTCTATACAATTTTCTGTGCTGAGCTCATTTTGTTTTTGAATCATGTTATGACTTCTTTCATTGTTATTGTTTTAATATTTGCTAAATATTTGTTCTTGTCCTCTTTTTTATTGTGATGTGAAGGTTTATCATTTTCTTTGAGGTTACCCTGTGATTCTTATGATTTTTCTTTCTGAGTTTAGAACTGTCCATTCTATCTTGCAGCTCTCTTGACTTCCTCACCATTTAGAAGTTCTGTAACTACACTATTTTCTCCCCTCTTCTTGGTTTGTAGTTGTCCTCATTTGCCAGTTGATGTCTCTGGTTCCCTGTTTACAATCTTGTAAGCTTATTTTCCTTTGGATACTTCCATAGCTTTGTTGGTTTCTGGGTTATGTGTCATCATGTGTATTAATGGTCAGTTATTGTTTGCTACTGTTGGTTCTCTGTCCAAAGGACTCCCTTTAGCATCTTTTGGAAGGTTGGTTGGTTTTAAGAAATTCCATTAATTTCTGCTTATCTAGAAATATCCTAATTTCACCATCATATTTGAGGGACACTGTTTCTGGGTACATAATTCTTGGTTATAAATTTGTATGTTTCAGGGTTATATACACCGTCCCATTCATTGCCTTCTCACCTGCATGATTTCTGCTGAGAAATCAGAGCTTCATCTTACTGGTTGCCCTTTGTAGGTAACTTTTCATTCTTCCTGTGCTACTTTCAGGATTCTTCCTTTGTCTTTGGTTTTGATGAGTTTCATGATGATATATGTCTTCGTGGTTTTCTTTTGAGGTCTATCCTGTTTTGGGTTTGTTGGACTTCTTGAATGAATATATTCTCGTCTTTCAGTGAAATTCCCTTCCAACAAATAATCTGTTTTCTCTGTGGTTTTATTCGTCTTTTCCTGTTCTAGAATTCTAGTTACACGTAGGTTATTGCTTTTGATGGTACCCCACATGAATCTTAGGCTTTCTTCATTTTGATTTGATCTTTTTTCTGATTGGTCCCTTCCAAAGGAGTATTGAGGTATTTGTCTTCATTCCCACTAATTCTGTCTTCCCTTGATTCGATTCTACTCCTTTGCTCTTTTAATGTGTTATCTATTTCTGAAAATACAGTATTAATCTTCTGGATTTATCTGTAGATTTTGTATCATTTCTAATTTTTCATTTATTTTGTCATTTTGTATTATCTTTCAAAATTTTTCTGGTTTTGTCTGTGTTTCCTTTATTTTGCCAGAGTTCTTCTTGGTCTGCCTGTCAATCTGTTGAAGGTACCAAAAAAATTATTTTGAATTCTTTATCAGGGAGTTCCAGTGCTGCTGCTGCTTTAGGGATGTGTTCTGGGTCTGTATCCTGGTCCCTAGTTTCTCCTGCTTTATCTTGCTTCTTTGTGTGGACTGTGATGGTCTTTTGTCTCCTTGACATAGTGACTTTGTTGTATTTATGTTTTATTGGTGATTGTATGTTGGAGTGATTCGCCCAAGATTTTCGTTTTCTTTGTTTTGTATCTGTGTAAGCTGGATACTGTGCTCCTCTGTTCGCTAGTTGGCAGCACTTAGACACTTATCACCTTTCTCCTGTTCGGTGTGATAGAGTGTGAGAATGGCTGCACAGGTCTCTGTTAACTGTTTGTGAAAAGCAGTTATGGGTGAGTTAGACTTATATTAGCTGTTGTGCATCGTTGGCCAGTTGGTACAGAAGCAAGTGGTAGCCCTCACTCAGTAGGTGCGGGTATGGTTGTGTTGTATGGGCATGGTTGCTGTCTCCCACTCAGTTGGAGAAAAACAACAATCAAAAAACCACTGAAAAAGTAAAAGCAAGTGGGCAGAAAACACACACTGTATAAACCCACAGGAGCAATCACCAAAAGAGAAAAAAAAGAAAAAACTAAAGAGGAAACGCAATAAATGAGAGAAAATATTTAAAGAAATACTTTAAAAAGACAAATGTGAATAGAAAAAAAGAAAGAAAAACCTACAGTATCTGGAGGAGAGGCAGATAACAGAAAAGAGCTAGAATAAGAGAATAACGAAGGAAAAAAATGGGGAAATTGCAAAATGATAAACAAGGGATAGGGAAAACCACAAGAAAAAGAAATGGGAACCAGAAAAGGGAAGAGAGAAAAAAACAAAAACTTGAACCTGGGAAGAGAAAAAGAAAGAATAAAAATAAAAAGGAAAAAGAAAAAAAAAAATTTAAGCCAACAAAAAGGAACAATAACAACAAAAAAAATCTGGGGAGGGCAGGGCAGGGCACCCAGGCTCTGTCAGAGCACCCAGACTGGCATGGAATTCCTGCCGGCCCTGAAGGTGGGTGGGAGTGAGGGATGGCCACACCTCTGTTCACCAAGAGGATGTGTGGTATAAAAGTACAAGGGGAATATCACAACTTTCCAGTCCTTAGCCTCCTGTATGTCCATGCTGTCTTAGGCAAGTGGAGCATATTCTTAGGTCTGTGGAATCTGAGAGCATGCTGTTGCTTTAAATATCCAAAATGGTCAAATTGCTTATAAACATTCAAAATTGCTGCTCCCTCTGGACAGCCAAAAGTCCACAGCTCAGTTTGTCACCTTCTCTGCTCTTTCCCTTTTTAGTCTTCAGCCACCAATGTAGTCCTTCTTGCAGCCCTTGGTGAGCAGGGCCAATTTTTAGGTTAATTCTTAGGTCTTAACACCATTTGGAAATGTCCAGACTTCCTGTGCCATCAGGATCACTGACATTCCGCAGTTCTGTTTGTTTCCTTATTCAGTATTTCCACGCTGGTTCTTCTGCTGCATCCATTCTTTCAAAGCTTAGAGTTCCGGGATTATTTTCTGTCTCTCTCAATTGGTTTCTCTTTTCTTTGTTGAAGACGGTCTGTATAGTTTGTCTGCCTATTTTCCCATCTGAGCAGAACTCTCTCAAACTTGTGTTTTAAAATATACTATTCCTGATTAAAAAGGAAGAGCTTTGGTTGTGCAGTGTCAGCAGTTTGAACCCAGTAGTTGCTCTGTGGCAGAAAAATGTGATGGTATGTGTCAGAGTTGTATCCTTTCACCATACTTACTCAATCTATATGCTGAGCAAATATGCAAGAAGCTGGATCATACGAGGAAGGACATGGCATCAGGATTAGAAGAAGACTCATCAGCAAGTGACCTTATAGAACAGAGCAGAACTGCTACATAGGATTTCCTTGGCTGTGATGTGTATAGGAGCAGATTGTTAGATGTTTTTCCCTATGGAACCACTGGTGGGTTCACACTGATAACCTTTCAGTTAGCTTCTGAGCTTAACCATTGTGCCATCAGACTTGCTTAAAGTGGACTGCTTAGAATGCTATTAATAAACATGGCCATCTGGAATCTGTATGGTATAAACTGGAAACCAAAATATTAGGAGGCAGGGGGTGTCTTATCATTTCTTGAATATGGGCAAAGAATTAAGGATTATTCAAAGCAAGTGGGGAGAACAAATGTATGATTAATAAAAATGAAATAATAACATAAATTAGTTTTTGTATGTCTGATAGGAGATAGTTCATTTCCCTGTCTACTGTTTTCTCTGTAGTTCTAAAAAGTCATTGATAACTATTTTCCCTCCTCTCCCTTTTTTTAGAGTTCAACCTGGTCATTGCTATCATCTGTACAATGGTCTGAGAGCAAGCCTTCTAGATGACTATCAATTGCCAGAAATTTTGAGAACTCCTTTGGAAGAACTTTGTTTACAAATAAAGGTAAATTAGGTGGGAGGATAAGAAACTGTATAAATTTATTTTGCTACGGATCAAAAATCCCACCACTGTCAACTCATTTGTGACTTACAGCAATACTCTAGGACACGGTAGAACTGCCCCATAGGATTTCCAAGTCTGTAAATCTTTACAGAAGCAGACCGCCACAACTTTCTACTGCAGAGCAGCTAGTGGGTTTAAAACGCTGACCTTTCAGTTAGCAGCTGCCAAAAAGGCAAGGAGGCCACATCTTCTGACCTCCTTTAACCCCACAAGAGGAAGACAAAATCACCATCAGTAGCCCAAGGCCTATTGTGGCAAGGCTAGACATACTGCCTCCCTCCAGCCCTTTCACCAGCCGTTCTCCTGCAGCACCCACCAGCTCTCTGCTGGGTTCGATAATTCGCTGCAGTGGCCTCACAGAACTCACAGATTATGGGGTTTATTAGGGAAGCACCAGGCTACAATTCAAGTTCAGAAATATACTCAATCACTTGCAGCCGGCTGTCTCACTCAGCAGCAGGCAGTCTCAGTAGCACATCACTCTCTCAGCCATTGCGTGTCTCGCCCGTATCTCAGTAGTGCATGTGTTTCTCACGTATCTCAGGAGCGAGTTTCTCTCAGCAGCACATCTTTCTCAGCCAGCAGTCAGAGAGACTCCTGCCTCCAGTAGGGCTCCTTTTGAGCCTGGCAGAGTGGCCAAACTAACCAATCCCAACATCAGACTTCTGCATTGCTGAGAGAGAGAGAGAGAACTTCCCAGAAGATTACTTCGTGCCAGTCTGAACAGAAATACCCAGATGGATAACTTTAACCATCAGGGGCTACTCAGTTGCTCATGGCAAATTCCACCAAGGAGTTTACAAAGACTTATGGCTAGAAAAGCCACACTATGTAATTTGCTACATCACAACGGCAGAGCATTTTACTCGTTATCAAGGTTCCTTATTTCATTATAAGGGAAATTAATGAGATGTTAATGAAACAGTTTTTGCTCAGAAGCCATATACTACCTGGGATTAATCTCAGCTCCTCCCTCAGAAAACATCGGACAGTTATTTAAATTAACCTCATAATATTTTTGAACAGTCTAGCATGTAGTAAGTACTCAGTAAATGTTAACTATAATTATTATGTTTTAATATCATCCATCCCTGGTTAAACATGACTTAGTATTTTTCTCCAGCATCTTTTCTGTTTAGATATCATTAGCCTTCTTGTTATGAAGATATTTGTAATCAACTTGTTAAAATTTAAGCAGCTACTTTCCTCATTAATAAAGTTGGTGATAGAAAGTGACATATTGGCCAGAAATGATTTGAATTCATTCCAGTAAATAACTGAGTTATAGAAGATGCTTTATAGGTTTGATACTTTGGGTGATCAGCACAACCAGGACTAAACTGTTATATAAATATATGATACATGTTTAATTGTACTTGTCCATTCTCAGATTTTAAGGCTGGGTGGAATTGCTTATTTTCTGAGCAGATTAATGGATCCACCATCAAATGAGGCAGTATTGCTCTCCATAAAGCACCTGATGGAACTGGTAAATTTTCATTTTTTAATTCTAACTTAGATTTAGAGTATAGAACTTGTAAGCATAGAATTTATACTTAATACTATGAAGTAGATCAATGAATGTACAGAGTGCCAAATTTGATTCATGGCTTGGCTATTCATTCAGCTCAGTGTATGAAATATGCATGAGAAAATTATAAAATGATACCTTTGTGATAATCTTTTAATGTTTAGCTACTGTTCAGTCAATCCCCAGCTAGTGATGACCCCTATGCACAATGGAATATGACCATTGTGATCCATAGGGTTTTCATTGGCTGACCTTTGGAAGTAGATCACCAGAGGCCTTTCTTTCTAGTTGTGTTTAGTCTGAAAACTTCCCTGAAACCTGTTCAGCATTATAGGAAACACACAAGCTTCCACTGACAGATAGGTACTGCCTGTGTTTGAAGTGGATTGGCTAGAAATCAAACCTAGCCTGGCATAGAAGACAATAACTACTAAACCACAACTGTCCCCATTCTTCTAATACAATTCTTTTTGGCAGGGGGATGTTTGTTAATTGCTGGTCCTCATTTGTGTTCATGAAATGAACTTTCTTGGTATTCTGCTATTTCAGATTGTTGTAATTGTTTAGAGGCTTTGTCAAATCCAAGTAACTTAATGACAATATGCACATTTTGTATAGGAAATAATGGGATTAAACTATTAAAGATCCCCCCCCCTTGGCCATACTTTTTAATTTTTTAAATGCCTTTTCTTGAATTTTCTTATTCAAGAAATTAGTATTTATGAAATAACTATTTAGTTGGCACATCCATGACAAGGTAATGCTGAGAAGAGGCACAGGACTGCTTGCGAGTTGGTGCCCAGAGTGGGAGAAAGCACTTACAGAAGGGGTTATAGTTGTGATGTGCAATAATGGTAGCCACAGGTGGCTGTTGAGCATTTGAAATACACAAATGTGACTGTGATATTAAATTTCTAATGTAATTTAAAATATTAAATAGCCGTAAGTAGCTGGTGGCTATCATTTTGAACGGTACAGTTATAGAGAATTTCCCTCAACATTACAAGTTCTGCGTGTTAGGTTGTTGTTTTGTGCCGTCAAGTAGGACCCGACTCATAGTGACCCCCCCCTCCTTGGGTTTCCGAGACAGTATCACTATGGAAGTAGATTGCCCAACCTTCCTTCTGAGGAGTGGCTGGTGGGTTTGAACTGCCAGCTTTCTAGTTAGCAGTCAAATGCCTTAGGCACTACGCTACCAGAGCTCCCATGTATTAGGTTAGAGGATACCAAAAGCATTTTACGAATTTCACAGGTTTATTTTGTGAGAATTAAAAATATCATCACTGCAGATAATTATTTTATTATGATAAAACATATATAATAAATGTGCCATTTTTAACATTTTTAAGTGTACAACTCAGTGACATTAATTATATTGACTGTGTTGTACATTATCACAACTGTTTCCAAAAGTTTTTCATCACCTCAAATAAACTCCTGTTTCCTTTTTCAGGTTCTGTCTAGATATTCTATTAATTATTGAGAGAAATGTATTGAGGTCTTTAACTGTTATTGTAGAACTGTCCTTAAGCAACAACTTCCAGTTGCCCCCTTCACCCAAGTGCTTGGTAACTACTGATAAACTTTGTCTTTATGCAGTTGCCTATTCTAGATATTTCATACAAGCGGGATCACATAATGTTTATCTTTTTGCATGTTTCACTTAGCCTAATGTTGTTGTTGTTCTTTTTTTAATTTTTATTGTGATTTGGGTGAAAGTTTACAGAGCAAATTCATTTTCCACAGCTCACATACACTTTATCTCATGACATTTACTACAATTTACCACAATGCAACAACCCCTCTCCACTTCCTCCCCAGTTATCTCTTCTCTGTATCCTTCCCACCCATGCACTTCTGCTCCCTAAGTTGCCTCCCTGTGCATACACAGCCTTTCTATTCTCCCATAATTGATCTCTCTAAGGAATGTATCTACCTAATGTAAATATTCAGTTGATAGGACTGTCTTTTGTTTGGTTGGAAGCCACAGGATTGGGATCAATTACAGACCTGGAGGGCAGCTAGGGGCCATAGTCTCAGTGATGCCATCAGGCTCTATCAGACCAACAAACCTGGTCTTTTTTTTTTTTTTTTTAATAATTTTCAGTTTTGTTCCACATTGTCCCACTCTATCCAGGATCTCCTTCATAGATCCCCCCCTCTGAGTGGTTGACACTGGTAGCCAGGCACCATCTAGTTCTTCTGGTCTCATGGTCGTATAAGCTGAGGATCACATGGTGAACCAGTCCCTTGGACTAATTGTTTCTATGTGTCTTTGGTTTTCTTCATTCTTCTTTGCTCTTGACTAGAAGAGACCCCTCGTTGCATTTAGATGGCCGCTTGCAAGCTTTTAAGATCCCAGTTGCTACTTGCCAAAGTAGGATGTAGAACAATGTTTTTGTATAGTATGTCATGTCAGTTGATCTTGATATCCCCTGGGACTGTGGTCCTGAGCCCACTACTTGCTCGCTCTAGGTAGCTGGCTGTGGCCAATGAGTGAGTATAACCTTGTCCCTTGTCAGCTCTTCTGTATACCTGGGAATTCTTATGTTTTTGTTGTGTTGTTATGTGCCGTCGAGTCGAACCCGACTCATAGCGACCCCTCCTTGGGTTTCCGAAGCAGTATCACTACGGAAGTAGATTGCCCCATCTTCCTTCTGAGGAGTGGCTGGTGGGTTTGAACCGCCAGCCCTCTGGTTATCAGTCAAGTGTCTTAGCCACTATGCTACCAGAGCTCCCGGGAATTTTTATAGAACATATAAATACATTCATAGAAAAATTGACTGCCAACCCTATCCATGGTCTTAGGCACACTACCCCCTGCATAGACATATCGAATAGTTTAGCCTATCTACCCATCTATCTGCCTGTATATCAGTGTTTGCCTTCACTGACAGTGCAGTACTATATGTGCATGAGAGTTCGTCTTGTTATCCGTAACTTCCATGCACCTCTCTTTGTCTTCCTCTTCCTTAATGCCACTGTGTTGATCACTCACATTTGCTATATTGCCCTACTTTTTTTTTAAACTTTTTATTGTGATTTGAGTGAAAGTTTACAGAGCAAATTGTTTTCCATTCAACAATTCATACATATTTTGTCTCGTGACATTGACTGCAATCCCCACAATGTAACAGCACTCTTCTTAGTTCCTCCTTGTGTTTCCTGTTTCCATTCATCCTTTCCTATCCCTTCCTGCTCTTTTTTTTTATTATTGTGATTTGGGTGAAGATTTACAGAGCAAACTCACTTTCCATACAGCTTATATTACCCTTCTAATCACCCAAATCAGTACTTGTCTCTACCTGTCTAACAGTGTTCCCTCCCCTCCACTCTGACCCCTGTCAACCAACAAAGAATATTTCTTTCCATATATAAACTTTTCCTTGACTCCTTACAATAGTGGACTAATACAATATTTGTCCTTCTGTGATTGACTTATTTCACTCAGCATAATGACCTTCAAGTTCATCCACATTATGTGGTGTTTTGCAGATTCTACATTATTCTTTAGTGTTGTATAGAATTCCATCGTGTGTATGTACCTTAGTTTGGCTATCCATTCTTCTGTTGATGGGCACCTAGGTTGTTTCCATCTTTTTGCTGTTGTAAATAGTGCTGCGATGAACATAGGTGTGCATATATATATCTGTTCTTGTCCTGGATCTCACTTCCTTAGGATATATACCTAGTAATGGGATTACTGAATCAAATGATATTTCTAATTCCAACTTTTTAATGAATTGCCATACTGCTTTCCACAGTGGTTGTATCATTGTACAGTCTCACCAACAGTGTATGAGAGTCCCAATCTCTCTGCATCCTGTCCAGCATTTGTTATTTTTTGTCTTGTTGAACTTTGCTACTAGTGCTAGAGAATGATGGTATCTCATTGTTTTGATTTGCGTCTCTGTAATGGCTAATGATCTCAGCATTTCTTCACATGTTTGTTGGCTGCCTGAATATCCTCCTTGGTTAAGTGTCTATTCATGTCTTTTGCCCGTTTTTTAACTAGATTGTGTTTTTGCTGTTGAGGTATTGGAGTTTTTTGTAAATTGTAGAGATGAGTCCCTTGTCACATATGTCATTGCCTAATTGTTGTTGTTGTTATATGCTGTTGAGTCGGACCTGACTCATAACTACTCCTCCTTGGGTTTCCGAGGCGGTATCACTATGGAAATAGATTGCCCAATCTTCCTTCCAAGGAGTGGCTGGTGGGTTTGAGCCACTAGCCTTCTGATTTGCAGTCAAATGCCTTAGGCACTATGCTGAAAGCTTAATGTTTTTAAGGTTCATTCATATCATAGCATATATCTGAACTTTACTTCTCTTTATGGCTGAATAACAACCCTTTGTATGTATATACCACATTTTGTTTACCTGTTCATCTAGTGATAGACATTTAAGTTGTTTTCATGTTTTGGCTGTTGTGAATAGTGCTGTGTCAAACACTGGTATACCAGGATCTGTTTGCTTTCAGTTCTTTGGGGTATATATCTAGGAATGGAATTGCTAGGTTATGGTATTATTTTGTTTAACTTTTGCAGAAACCACTACATTGTTTTCCACAGTGGTTGCACCATTTTACATCCCTACCAGCAGTGTACACGTGTTGTGGTTTCTCTACATCTTCATCATTTAATTTTTTGTTTTATTTTGTTTTTGTGGTTGGAGAAGATACTTTGTATAATTTCAGTCTTCTTAAATTTATTGAGATTTATTTTGTGACCTAACATAGGGTCTATTGTGGAGAATGATATATGTGCACTAGAAAAGAATTTATGTCTACCATTGTTGGATAAAGCGTCCTTTATATATGTATTTTAGGTCTAGTTGGTTTATAGTGTTGCCTAATTTCTTTGTTTCATTTTTGATCTTCTAGATGTTCTGTCCAATATTGAGAGGAACGTACTGAAGTCTCCAGCTATTATTATAGAACTGTATATGTATCCCTTTGATTCTGTCACTGCTTAATATATTTTGGAGCTGTATTATTAGTTGCATCTATATAATTGTCTTTTCTTGATACATTAACTTTTTTTTTTCTTTTATCACTTTTATAGTGGTGAAAACATACACAAACAAGACATTCACCAATGTAACCAATTCTGCGTTCATAACTCAGGGATATTAATGACATTTTTCATGTTGTGCCACCATTATTGCTATAAATAAAAAAGCCAAACTCACTGCTCTCAAGTCATTTTCCAACTCATAGTGACACCTCCTTGGGTTTCCGAGGTGGTATCTCTACGGAAGTATATTGCCCAATCTTCTTTCCAAGGAATGGCTGGTGGGTTTGAACCGTCAACCTTCTGGTTAGCAGTCAAATACTTTTCAAAAATATTCCACCACCATTAGCATAAATTTAATGCCCCACAGACAAAAATTTCCCATTTCCCCCTCCCTCCTACCCCTGGTAACCACTAATAATCTTTGGTTTCTGTATTTATTTATTTTTTCAACCTATGTAAGAATTTAGGAGCTGTGGTAGCATAGTGCCTAAGGCATTAGACTGTTAACCAGGAGGTTTAAATACCAGTTATGTGGTATTCTGCAGATTCTACATTATTCTTTAGGGTTGCATAGTATTCCATTATGTATATGTACCACAGTGTGATTACCCGTTTCTGCATTGATGGGTACTATTTTGGTTACCTAGTGTTGCTCTGGTGGCATAGTGCCTAAGGCACTTGACCACTAACCAGAAGGCTGGCGGTTCAAACCCACCAGCCACTCCTCAGAAGGAAGGTTGGGCAATCTACTTCCATAGTGATACTGCCTGGAAAACCCAAGGAGGGGTCACTGTGAGTTGGGGCCGACTCAACGGCACATAACAACAACAACAGTGCTGCTCTGACAAGAATATACCACAAATGGGATGGCTTGAAGAAACAGAAGTTTATTCTCTTACAGTTTGTTGGCTTTAAGTCTGAGTTCTAGATGCCAGGCCCTAGGGGCTGTGTGAAAGCCCCTCGACCTTGGGCTTCAGCTCTGCCTCTTGTTCCCAGCCAACTGAAGATAGAGGCATCCCTTCACTTAGGCAGCTACTGGCTGCTAAGGCTAAGAAGCCCAAGGTCAACAAATAAAATGACACAGTCCTCATGTGACCAAACAACATGGCAGGCCGTGGATTCAAGTCCATTGAAAATCCCAGGATTGTCAGAGCATGGGAGGCTGCTAAACAAAAACTCGGCTACATGCAGGGTTCAAGCATGCCATAAGCTAGAGACCATTCCCAAAGCTGTTTCTTATATGCTGAAAGCATACTACATACCCAAAGCAGCTACTCTGCTGTTTCAGTAGAGTCCACCATGGAGTTTATTACCAATCTCATTATGGGGAATAACTATATTCAGCTGCCCAGCCACTCAAACAGCCCCAGCCAAGTTGACACACAAATTTAACCATCAGAGGCAGTTAGGTTGTTTCCATTTCTTTGCTGTTGTGAATAGTGCTGTGATGAATATGGGTGTGCATATACCTATTTATATCCTGCCTCTCACTTTAGGGTATATACCTAGTAATAGGATTGCTAGATCAAATGGTATTTCTATTTGCAATTTTTTAAGAAATCACCATATTGATTTCCACAGTGCTTGTTTCATTTTACAATTCCACCAGCAGTGTATGAGAGTCCCAATCTGTCTACATCCTCGCCAACATTTGTTATTTTCTGTAGTGTTGAACTTCGCCATAGGTGCTGGGGTAAGATTTTATCTTGTTGTTTTGATCTGCATCTCTGATGGTTAATGATTGTGAACATTTCTTCATGTATTTGCTGACCACCTGAATATCCTCTTCAGTGAAGTGTCTATTCATTTTGTCTTTTGCTCATTTTTTAATTGGATTGTTATTCTTTTTGGTGTTGAGGTGTTGGAGGTTTCTGTAAATTTTAGATATAAGTGCCTTGTCAGATATGTAAGTATCAATAAGTGGGAATTTGTTGCTGTCATTTTGTTATGTGCTTTTTCATGGTATTGATGTCTTTGTTCCATATAATTTTCTGTGCTGAGCTCGTTTTGTTTATGAATCATGTTATCACTTCCTTTGTTGCTATTGTTTTGGTATTTGCTAAATATTTGCACTGGTCTTCTTTTTTATTTCTATGTGAAGGTTTATCATTTTTCTTTGATAATTACCCTATGATTTATAATTTTCTTCCCTAGTTTACAACAGTCCATTCTATCTTATAGTTGTCTTGACTTCCCTACCATTTAGAAGTTCTATAACTACACCGTTTTTTCCCTATTTTTGCTTTGTAGTTGTCCTGATTTGTCAGTTGATGTCTCTGGTCCCCTGTTTACAATTTTAATAGGCTTATTTACTTGTATTTCTATAACTCGGTTGCTTTCTGGGTTATGTCATTATGTATGTTAATGGTCAGTTGTTTGCTGTTGTTGATTCTCAATCCAAAGGACTCACTTTAGCATCCAAAGAAGCTATTTCTAAGTAGTATTATATTCCTAGCTATAGAGGTAAGAATTCCAGCACATATTCTAAAGGGACACAATTCAATGGATAACAAACTTTTTATCTAATTATGGAAGTTTCTTTCTATTCCTAGTTTATTAAGAAGTTTTTATCATGCATGGATAATTTATTTTACCTAACTTTTTTTTTTTCTATATGAAATTATGAAGGACTTTTCTCACTTTCTCTGTTTTCCTTGTATTGCTTGTTAATGTAGTATAGATTAAATTGATTTTACAAAAGTTAAACCAACTTTTTTGTCCCTGAAATGAACTGTTACAACTTGATGACATTCAATTTGCCATTGTTTTGTTTTGTGCAATGTGTGAGAATATTTAGTAGTTTTCTTCAAATATCCTTAACAGATTTTGGTGTCAGAATTATGCTGGGCTCCATACACAAGTTGAAGTATTTTTATTTTTAATTTTTTCCCTTTCTCTGAAAGTATTTTTTTTAAATTGAGGCTATTTCCTTTATAAATCTTTGGTAGAAGTCTGTGTCTAATGGAACCATACTGATTTGTTTCTAGTTTTCATTCTCATTTGTATCTTGTCTTGTGTGCCTAGTTAGTTTAATTGCATGCTGGACTTTGTATTTACAATAGAGATTTACCTTCTTGGAAACCCAATGGGGATCGCTATGAGTTGGAATAGACTTGATGGCAGGGGTTTTTTATATCCTAAATCTGTAGTAATTCTTTTTCTTATTAACTTCTCGGTGTCTTCAGGTGGCTTCTCTAATTCCTCATTGTCCTCAGTAGGGTGATTGGACCCAATTCGATAGTTAATCTTAGCAGAAGTCACTTCTATTTTTAGGAGTTCTAGATGGATGTGTTATTTTTTGCCTCCTAATCTCATGGTTCCTCAGCTGCTAGAATCTAGGGGCTATGCATTGTATATTCCAAATATGTGCTAGTGTCTTGTTTGTTTTTTTCTCTTAACTTGTACTTTACTGGGTGATTTTCTCTAACTGAAAACTTGCTAGTTCATTATTTCTTCAGAATTTCTCCTAACATACACAGCAAAGCAAAGTTGTGGATTAATTTGTTTTTATTTAATGTAGTTTCTAATCTTTGATTACTTCAGAACTTATGTTTTGATGAAGAAAACTGAAGCTGGACAAGGCTTAAAGCATTTGGACTTAAGAGAATAAAGTGTGACCTGCAGAATTTTTTTTTTAATCCAAACAAAACATAGCTTTAAATGTAATGCTTTAAAATGTATTTTAACTGTGAACCCTTACTTTACAGAATGCTTTGGATAAACAAGAAGAATTGACACCTCTTGGAGTCCACTTAGCACGATTACCAGTTGAGCCACATATTGGAAAAATGATTCTATTTGGAGCTCTGTTCTGTTGCTTAGATCCAGTGCTCACTATTGCTGCTAGTCTCAGCTTCAAAGATCCCTTTGTCATTCCATTGGTAAGAGATTCACATAAGAAGCTGGGTGTTTTCAAATAAAGAGAAAAATTGTTACTTAGAAGTACTTTTCATTAGTTTTTTTATTAGAATGCTATATCCTATTATATAGCATCAGAGCAGTGTTAATTGCCTTTACCTGTTATTTCCAGGGAAAAGAAAAGATTGCAGATGCAAGAAGAAAGGAATTGGCAAAGGATTCTAGAAGTGATCATCTGACAGTTGTGAATGCTTTTGAGGTAAAAAAAAAAAAAAAGAGAGAAACAACTTGTTCTGGACTATATAGCAGTTTATTTACATGAACAAGGAACATACTTAACACTTTAAAACCTGTATTGGAGATACCAGGAATACATAGTTACCTTTATTGAGAAATCTGTTGTGTTTTGATACGAGTATAACAAGCAAGTATTGAACAGTTTAAAATTTTAAATTTGACAGTATTCACTTACCTCTTACTTGCATTCATGACAGATACACCAAAAAACCAAACCCACTGCCATTGAGTTGATTCTGACTTATAGCAACCCCCATTGGGTTTAAATCTTTACGGAAGTAGACTGCCTCTTCTTCCTCCCACAGAGCAGCTAATGGTGGATTTGAACTGCTGACCTTCTGGTTAGCAGCCAGATGCCTTCACCACTACACCACCAGAGCTCCTTTGGTGACAGATAACCACTTTCTGTTCATGAACAATGACTCCTATAATCAGATTCAACATGTTTATAAAGAGCATCCTAATCATATGTATTGTTCGGATTACAGAAATTTTTGGGAAACATCAAAAACCAAGCTCATCTGAGTGTAAACATTTACCACTTATCTTTGCAATATTTGTTACTTAATTTGTACAGGCAATATCTTTTTACTGTAGCTCTAGACTCATTTTGTACTCCAAAATAAGGGAAAGTTTTTATATCATTTTCCTCAGAGCTTAGTAAACTTCTTGCCTTTTTCCCTTCACTAATAAAAACATGTTTGAAATAGAAAATATATAATAACATTGAAATTTGTTCTACATTTTTTTTCTTTCTGACTCTTGATTAATACGTTACAATATCAGGTCATTTTGGGTAAAATATACAATTAACATATAACCGTATAACTCATACTTGCATAACAATCATCTGAAAGTTTGGTGGTAATTCATTCTCAAAGACTTGGATTATGGGGAGTTCATACTTCTTTAATTTGTAAGTTTTAAAGTTGTTTTGAGTATTTTACAAGGAAAATGAAATATCAGGGAAGGTTCAGTTATTGCTAGAATAAAGACAGAAACTCATAAGCAATCTATGGTTTAGAGAATGATATAAATAGATTTTATTTCCTTGCTTGCTAGGGCTGGGAAGAAGCTAAGCGACGTGGTTTCAGATATGAAAAGGACTATTGTTGGGAATATTTTCTGTCTTCAAACACACTTCAGGTAATGGTGAATGTTTCACAGTTCTCATCTATGTCAAATTAGAGAATGAATGTGTGCATATGCTTTGTGCAGTAGATCTGTAGCAAAAAGTTGTCTAAGTTTCTTTTATGAAGTTTAATCATTGTACAAATTAATAGAGACTCTTCATTAAATCAACTGAAACAAAACAAAGAAAGATATGTGTAATGTAATATAACTAATGACCTAAAAAGAAACAAGATTCCAGAGTAGACAGTAAAGTGCAGTACAACTCAGTTATTATTCCTATCCTTACTTTTTTTAGTAGCTGTTTTGATGGTTTAACCTGAGAATTTTTACTAATAGTTCTAATTCTTTTTAAAAATATCAAATAGGGTATATATCTGTAACTTTTTGTGATTTAATACTAATAGTGAGAACATTACAGGAGAGGCATACATGAACAAAAGAAAGTGAGTAAGGAGTTGCACATCACCCTTCAGACTATGGTGAATTGGGGAAGTGAGTTGAAGCCAGTGAGAGTAGGACTATCATCCCACTCCCCCAAAACACATACATCACAACTCTGTGGTGAGAGCCCTGTCACTAAACTAAGCATGTAACAAATCTATGAAGAGAGAAAAGAATTAAGAATCTAGCCTGTCTAATTGAGACTCTCCAATCATTAGCAAAGTAAAGACGCATGGCAACTCTGTAAAGTTATAAAATCAAAGAGAGGTTTAAAAAAAAAGAAAACAGCATAGCATAACAAAAGAAAATACATCTGCTTCAATAATATTGAGCAATTTAAGAACAATATGAATTCTTTAAAACACAGGTAAAGTTAACCAATATAATTAATAGAGTGGATGAAGGGAAGATTGCTGAGTTGAGAAACAAATTGTGTGCCAAAAGAATAAAAGAAAATTGGACACTCCCTTAAAGTCAAATTATTGCCACAGAACGGAGCCTTGAGGTAATCCCAGTTCATGAATATAGCTGAAAAAGACAGAGATTCAAGCAATAAGTTAAAAGCTTAGAGAACGGAAGACACAGATGATCCATTATGAGCATAATAGATGTCTACATAGAAAATTCAAGTGTAATTGAATGTGTATTCACAGATATAAGACTATTTCCCTGAAATGGAAAATGAAATGAGCCAGAAGTTTAAAAAGATTGCTGAATCTAGCTGTCATTTGAGAATATTACCCAGTCAAGATATTAATTCACATATAAAGATGAGGCAGGCATTCAAGAAAGCACTTGAGAAATACTCCCATGAAATATTGTTGAAAAAGTATTGACAATAATATACTACCTATTAAGAGATGAATCAAAGTGGAGAATTCATAAATGGAGCTAAATGAACTGGTAGTGTACATTGAAACTATTTAGATGTATTAACTGATGCAAAGCATTGTTGTTGGAAGTTATCAGTACAGGCTAGATTGTAAAGGTTATCCTGAAAAATATAAAATAGTGCTAATTAAAACCTGGAGTGGCTTAAGAATCAATTATAACAAAATGAGGAAATATAGTGTCTCACATTTCATATTCTTAAAATGACTACACCTTTTAAAATGTATAATCGTGAAACCAAATGTACATGAAATGTTGAATGTAAAACAAATTCTGCTCTGTAAACTTGCACCTAAAGCACAATTAAAAAAAAAATTTTCAATATATACTGTATTTGACTTAATTGAAACAACTAAATACGTGTAATAAAATGTATAATCTTTTCATAAGCTTAAAAGAATCCTTTTGAAAATATATTTTATAATTATAAAAATTTAAAATCCGTCTTTTAGTTTGATTTCTGTTTAATTTTCTTCTTCAAACTAAAATTTTAATGCTTTTATGAAGACAGCTTCTATGCTGTGATCGGGCGGATTGCCCAGTAAGCAAGCATCACAGGTTAACTAGTGCTTACTCAACTGATCTGTAGCGAACAGTTGCACATTTTTCACATCAAAGATTCTACTTCTAGGTATGGCTGGCGTCTGTCTCTCCCAGTCCCATAGCACCTTCCTATAGAATCAAACATTTTTTTCAAATTTACAGTCCCTGATCGAAATGGAGCACCCAGTAAGCAAGGTAAAAGCATGTGGTGACACCTAGGTGAAATTGTTCACTACAGGTTAGTAGTAAGTAAGCACAAGTAAGCCTTTGCTTACATTATTGGTTAATCTGACACTGGCCGTGATCTCATTGTTATGATAGTATTTCTGTTTAAGTTTCCTGTGAGTATACATTTTGCCCTCTATATCTCTGGATTTCGCATCTGTGGCTTCAACCAACTGCTGATCAGGGTGGATGAGGGGCTGTGGGGGCAATTAAGTGGTCATAGCAATCCTTCAAAGACTAAGAGGGAGGAGTGTGCACAAGATGCTATTTTACATAGCATTTACATTATATGGGTATTATAAGTAATCTAGAGATGATTTAAAGTATAAGGGAGGATGTGCTTAGGTTATATGCAAATACTGTACCATTTTATATAAGGGACTTGAGCATCTCCAGTTGGGAGGGTAGTCCTGGGACCAATCCCCCGTAGATACCGAGGGACAACTATACATGCACAATACGTAGCTGCAATCTTGATAGCTTATTTAATGATTATTTCTGAGAGTATGGAGGGAATTTTCTGTTTTCATCTTTTTAATTTTCATCATTACTTGAATGCTTTATAATGAGCCATGCATCATTTTTATCCAAGCAGTGATTTTCTTTTAAATAAAATCATTAAAAATAGAACAGGCCTTAAGCATATATACATGTATGTTAATTAAAAAAACCAAACTCACTGCCGTGGAGTCAATTCAACTCATAGTGATCCCTCCTTGGGAGGGGGTATCTCTACAGAAGTAGACTGTCCAATCTTCCTTCTGTGGAGTGGCTGGTAGGTTTGAAACACCAGCCTTCTGGTTGGCAGTCAAATGTCTTAGGTACTACACCAGTAGCACTCATTAATATCTTAGCAGTGTAAAATGGATATTTTTCAAAATATGGTAGAGGGAGGGTGATTTGAAAAATTACTTAGTCTTTTGCAAAATGGAACAATCCTTAAATATCTCTAAAACAGGCAATTTTTTTTTTTTTTTTTTAAGAAGGCCAGATAGTAAATATTTCAGGCTATGCAGGCCACAGGGTCCCAGTTGCAACCACTTAACTCTTTCATGGTAGTGCAACAACCATAGATAATATGCAGACAAATGGGTGTGGCTTTGTTCCAGTGGAACTATTTGCAAAAACAGGCAGAAGCCAGAAAGTCTGGAATTGCTGACACCTGCTCCAAAACACCACATTTTTGCCAAAATGTATTAATAAAACAAGGAAAACTTACAACTGAATTTCTGAGTATATTCCTTGGTAGCTGTGTCAAAGCTGTTCTAGTTCTGTTTGTTACCATTGCTCCCTAGATGCTGCATAACATGAAAGGACAGTTTGCTGAGCATCTTCTTGGAGCTGGATTTGTAAGCAGTAGAAATCCTAAAGATCCAAAATCTAATACAAATTCAGGTAAAGCAAAAAATACAGTGTAAATAACTTGGTACTATTGTTCATTATACCAGTATTTACTTTTTTTTATCTCCCCCCACATCTTTCCACTCCCAATAGATAATGAGAAGATCATTAAAGCAGTTATCTGTGCTGGTTTATACCCTAAAGTTGCTAAAATCCGGCCAAATTTGGGTAAAAAAAGAAAAATGTAAGCATTGAAGATTATTATCAATCACTTGGCAATACTTCCTTTAAACTTTAAAAATCCTTTAGCACAGCAGGACTTTGTTGTAATGTAAATTTGATCTTATGCATATTTGGGCCATGTTCTTGTTCTTTAATTTTGATCATTTAGAAGAAGGCAAACTGTTTGTTTAACTTAGGCATCATTTTCCCTTATGACATTTCTACAGTTACCTCTGTTGTCACTCACTACTCTCATAGAATGTTAGTGAAATATAATACTAGTGTAAATGTTAGAAAAGTAAGCCAGCTTTTCAAAACAATTATATAGATAAACTCCAAACCAAGCTCATTGCCATCAAGTTAACTCTGACTCATAGCGACCCGACCCCCTTGGGGTTTCCAAGGATGTATATCTTTACGGGAGTAGATTGCCCAGACTTCCTTCTGCTGACTGGCTGCTGGGTTTGAACCACCTACCTTCTAGTTAGCAGTCAAATGCCTTAGGCATTACACCACCAGAGCTCCTTAATTATCTGGATAGAAATCACTAAGGGTAGTTTTGTTGAAGTTTTTGTTTTGTTTCCCTCCTGCTATAACTGGATGATTTGGTAACAGCTCTTTGAAGAAAATTTTGATGATTCACTCTTTCAAGAAATAAAATGTAGTGAGTAAATATACTGATAGTTTCAGTAGTAATTGGAAAGACATTATCTGCTGAGTAAATGAGCTCATACTAGCAAGGGTACAGAGAAACTGAGTCACAGATGAGTAGTGGTTTCTGAATTTGTACCACCTTTTTGGAAGGCATTCTAGATTAGAATTATGTGTCAAGAGTCATTAAAGTAGGTACTGGCCTACTGGATTCCTAAGTAAATATTTTAAGAAATATGCCCAGAGAAAGTAATTAAAAATGTTTTCTAAAAGTTGTATTGTAAACAACATAAATATCTAGTAGCAGTGAAGACAGACATTGTGTATGGTTTTATAATACCACATTATCATATAACAGTTTCTTGGACATGTAACATATTCGTTGTTTAGTAATATAGAAAATACTTAAACTTCTGTTAATTTAAAAAAGAATACTGCCAAATTACTTAAACTTCTGTTAATTTAAAAAAGAATACTGCCAAATTAAACTGATTATAAACATGAAAAAAAAATGCATGAAGGGATAGGAAACCTTAACAGTACACTGAAGTGTAGACATTGTTCTAGGGCAGTGAATCTCAGAGGTGATTCAGAGGTGATTAAGGCTCCCCCTCCCCCCCGAACATTTGGCAGTTTGGAGATATTCATGGTTGTCACAACTTGAGAGCAGAGTATGCTTCTAGCATCTGGCAGGTAGAGGTCACAGATACTGCTAACCATCCTGTATTGCACAAGATAGCCTCCCACATCAGAGAATTATCCAGTTCAAAATGTCAACCATGGTGATATTTAGAACCCCTATTTTAGGGTAGGATTATGGACAGTAGATGAATTTTAATCACTTATGGCTAGATTATCTGCATGTAAATGATTTAAGTATTCTTGACAGCAACACTTTAGTTAAATTTTTATATCTTTGTCTAACTGCACAGGTAGCCTAACAGGCGTTTTTATTACCATCCTGGGAAGTTTTTTATTTTTGAAATAGTGTAATTCTCTAGGAGTTGATGCTTTGTTTTCATTTAGAGTAGAGGTCAGCAAACTGTGGCCTATGGACCGGAAACTTGTTTTTGTAAATTTTGGTTGGACTGTTGTCATGCCCATTTGCTTATTATATTGTCTATGTCTGCTTTCTTGCTATAGCAGCAAAATTGTGTAGCTGTGACAGATTATATGCCCACAAAGCCTAAAATATATACTGCCTGGTCCTTTACAGAAAAAGTTTGCCAGCCCCCACTCTAGTGATGATACAGGGTTGCAGTGTGGCATTAGTTAAATTAGTGGCATGTGGGATGAAGAAAAATACTTTATTCCAGATAATTAATCATGACTGTGATTTCATGATTTTGGTAGAATTATTGTAAATTTTAAGAATATCAGAAAAGATACTCTTGAAAACAAATAGAAACAATTCATGGATCACCAGCTTTAATATTTTTTGATACAGATAATTACCATTACTTAAAAGGAGAAATCCCTGAGTGGTGCAAATAGGTAACGTGCTTGGCTGCTAACCTCTAAAGCTTAGGGGTTTGAATCCACACAGAGACACCTTGGAAGGAAGGCCTGATGATCAACCAACTTCTAAAAATTCAGCTTTTGAAAACCTTATGGAGTGCAGTTCTACTCTGACACCCATGGTGTTACTATGAGTTGGAATCAATTCAACAATAATCATTTTTATTTAAAAATAAACCTTCAAGCATTTTTCTCTTGAAAAATATTTGTTGTTGCTATGTGCCGTCAAGTCAAACCCGACTCATAGCAACCCCTCCTTGGGTTTCCGAGGCAGTATCACTACGGAAGTAGGATTGCCCAGCCTTCCTTCCGAGGAGTGGCTAGTGGGTTTGAACTGCCTGCCGTCTGTTAGCAGGCAAGTGTCTTAGCCACTATGCTACCAGAGCTCCCTGAAAAATATTAGTTAAACCAAAACCAAACCAAACCCACCACCACTGAGTCGATTCTGACTCATAATGACTCTCTAAGACAGAGTAGAACTGCCCCATGGGGTTCTTAAGGCTGTAAATCTTTACGGAAGCAGACTGCCTCATCTTTCTCTTGCTTAGTGACTGGTCAGTTTGAGCTGCTTACCTTTGGGTTAGCAGCTCTATGCTTTGACCACTGCACCACCAGAGCACCTATAAATTGAAAAATAATCTTTATGACTATCAAAGACCCCCTAGAGACTGAATGAGAGCTGTATCAAGGTACATTTATTTCAACTTTCTGTTTTGCAGTTAGGAGATTTGTATGAATATGTGAATGAGTTTGAGTGAATATTTAAAACATTTTTAAAAAGTTTGGTTTTATATCTATCTGGGTGCATACCCTGTGAAATTTTTAAATTAATTTCAGAAAATTACCCTTAAAATCAAGCCTTATTTATTGGTATCCTGATTGACATAGACAAATGTATAAACTCTTCTCTTGGTCTGAACCGCTTATTATTTCAGATGTTGATTTTACTCATATTCTTTAGTGGCATAGTGTATCTTAGCACAATTAAGGGATATTCTGTCACCTTTCTAATGTGTTAGTTAATTATATTTATGTGAACATGATTAACTTGTGTGAGTTACAGAGTATTAATATTTAGCTGACATTTTCTAATTATTATTAAAATGAAAATTCTGATCTTTCCTCAAATATGAATTTATAAATTTATATTCCAAAAAATAAAACAAACTCAGCTGTGGGCTTGTTTTTTATGTTCTGGGGTTTGTTTAGTTTTTCAGTAAGCCGTTCATCAAATATTTGATAAAGTTAAAAAAATATTCTAGAAGACTTTTAAAAGAAATTGTTTTAATTTTTTTAAAGGGTTAAAGTGTACACAAAACCTGATGGATTAGTTGCCATTCATCCTAAATCTGTTAATGTGGAGCAAACAGACTTTCATTACAAGTGGCTTATCTATCACCTGAAGATGAGAACAAGTAGTGTAAGTGAACATTTAAAATAATTACGGATCTGGATAGCAGTCTTGTCATATATAATTGTATAGTTCTCACAATTATAAACAAAATTTGATCTTTTTTTTTTTTTACTTTGATATGAATTATCACCTTTTCCCTTAAGCAAATAGCCTGTACTTTTAATTGTGCATGTCTGTCGTGATGGATTTTTATATTTTAATTAGTTAGTGTGATTTTGATCATATTCTTCTGTTTAGAAAAATAATTTGAGATTATTTTTAAAGTATTATGCATATAGATAAAAATAATTTCAGCTACGTTACTAGTTTCGGTTTTGCCACTCAGAAAATACATTGTTTAAAGAATAGTGCTATAGTTTGAATTGAATTAAAGGTATAAAACCCTCATGTTCTCTAAATTAATGATAATGTATTTAACATGCCGTATCTTCACAGTTAGTCTCCATTACTACACAAGTGCGGGAGCCCTGGTGACAGTGGTTAAGTGCAAGGATGTTAATCAAAAGATCGGCAGTTCGAACCTACCAGCCACTTTGAGAGAGAACGATGTAGAAGTCTGCTTCTGTAAAGATTTATAGCCTTAGAAAGCACATGGGGCAGTTCTATTCTGTCTTACACGGTTGCTTTGAGTTGGAATCAACTCGATAAATTTGGTACCGATATAGAAGACAAACGATGATAAACTGATACAGGTGGACTCTTGAATGTATTAATTCACTTTCATTCTCTTTGCAGATATACTTGTATGACTGCACAGAGGTTTCCCCATACTGTCTGTTGTTCTTTGGTGGTGATATTTCCATCCAGAAGGATAATGATCAAGAAACTATTGCAGTAGATGAATGGATTGTCTTTCAGTCTCCAGCAAGAATTGCCCATCTTGTTAAGGTGACTGATTTTACATGATTGTCTTTGAATATATGTGCAAGTCTGCATGTGGTCTTATGATTTTGATCTAAGTGTTACATGTAAGACACTCCTTGCTCTATTTCAGCAGAACAGATAATGTTGAGAAACTGATTGACAGCTTTTCCAAATTGTTTTTGAAATGATAAGTGAACAATTCTAAATGGCTCAATGTAGTTGAAAGTGGAAATTTATTTTTTTATTTTTTTTGTAATTTGGGTGAAAGTTTACAGAGCAAATTCATTTTTCTTACAGAAGTTCACATATACTTTGTCTCATGACATTGACTGCAATTTCCCAAATGGAACAGCTCTCTCTCCATGTCTCCCCATAGTTACCTTTTCCCTGCATCTTTCCCTCCTTTGCACTCCTGTCCCCCGAGCTGTCTCCCGGTGTGTACACAGCCCTTCTATTCTCCCATGATCCAAGGAGTGTATCTATCTAATGTAAATGTTCAGCTCATATGCTTGTCTTTTCTTTGGCTGGAAATCATAGGAGTGGTTTTAATTCCAGACCTGAAGGGGAGCTAGGGGCTGTAGTCTCAGTGGTTCCACCAGGCTCTGTCAGACCAGCAAACCTGGTCCCTGTTTATTTTTATCTTTTTATTGTTTTGAGTTTTATTTCACATTATTCTCCAACTCTGTCCAGGATCTCTTACATAGATCCCCCTCCGAGTGATTAACAGTGGTAGCCGAGACCCATCTAGTTCTTCTGGTCTCATAGTTGTATAGGCTGAGGATCGTATGGTTTGCCAGTCCCTTGGACTAATTGTTTCCATGCATCTTTGGTTTTCTTCGCTTTGGATGAGGCACGACCCGTCATTGCATCTAGATGGCTGCTTGCAAGCTGTTAAGATCCCAGTTGCTACTTGCCAAAGTAGGCTGTGGAACAGTGTTTTGTGTAGTATGTTGTGCCAATTGAGCTTGATATCACCTGCGACCATGGACCCGACCCCACAAGTCCAACTTGTCGCTCCCTCTGAGTAGCTGGCTGTGGCCAAGAAGTGTCTATAACCTTGTTCTTTGTCAGCTCTACTATGCACCTGGGAATTCTTATAGAACATACAAATACACTTGTAGAAACATTGTCTGCCAACCCTGTACATGGTCATGGGCACACTCCTTCCTACATAGACATACCTAATCATTCAGCCTGTCCACTCATCTGTCCGTTTGTATATCAATGTTTATCTTCATTGCCAATACAGTACTGTATGTGCACAAGGGTTCATATTTGTTTTTGTACCTCCCATGCATCTCTCTCTGTCTCACTCTTCCTCTGTGTCACTGTGTTGATCACTCATATTTGGTACATTGCCCTTCTCTTCACCCAATTCAATACTTGTCTCTACCTATCTGGCAGTGTTCCCTCCTCTCCCTTCCCACCCCTGGTAACCAACAGAAAATTTATTTCTATGTATAAATCTTTCCTTGACTTTTTACAGTAACAGACTAATACAATATTTGTCCTTCTGTGATCGACTTACCTCACTCAGCATAATGACCTCTGAATTCATCCATGTTATGCGGTATTTTGCACATTCTACTTTATTCTTTAGGTTGCATAGTATTCCATTGTGTGTATGTACCATAGTTTGGTTATCCATTCTTCTGTTGATGGGCACCTAAGTTGTTTCCATCTTTTTGCTGTTGTAAACAGTGCTGTGATGAACGTGAGTGTGCATATATCTGTTCTTGTCCTGGCTCTCACTTCTTTATGATACATACCTAGTAATGGAATGGCTGGGTCAAATGGTATTTCTAATTCCAATTTTTTAAAGAATCGCCATACTGCTTGGCACAGTGGGTTGTACCATTTTACAGTCCCACCAGCAGTGTATGAGTGTATGAGTCCCAATCTCTCCACATGCTTGCCAGCATTTTGTGATTTTCTGTCTTGTTGAATGTTGATACTAGTGCTGAGACAAGATGGTATCTCATTGTTGTATTGATTTACATCTCTCTAATGGCTAATGATTGTGAGCATTTTTTCATGTATTTGTTGGCTATCTGAATATCCTCTTTGGTGAAGTGTCTTTTCATGCCTTCTGCTCATTTTTTAATTGGATTGTTTGTCTTTTTGTTGTTGAGGTGTTGGAGTTTTCTATGAATTTTAAATATAAGTCCCTTGTCCCTTGTCTAATACGTCATTGCCATTATTTTTCCCCAGTCTGTAGGTTTTCCTTTGACTCTTGTAGAAGTCTTTGGAAGCACATAAAAATTTAATTTTTAAAAGGTCACATTCAGACATCAAGCTCAGTTGGCATAACGAACTATACAAAACATTGTTCCACCTCCTACTTTGGCGAGTAGCGACTGGGATCTTAAAAGCTAGCAAGCTGCCATCTAGATGCAACG